CGAAACAAGATGAAGCTTACTGGCGAATTCTGCGCTGGCGGCGCTTCTTCGTTGGTCACTATTGCCCTGACTCTGCAGTGTCCATCAGTCGGCTTTCTGTCGTCCATCTTCACGTGTCTTTTTCCTTCAGTCGCCAATGTAAGCGCAGTTTTCTGGAGCGGTCGGCAAATCGAAACGGCTGTCACTAATTCTCGCTTTTATAGCTGTTGTAATGACACTAAGTACAGTTCAGAGGTGCACATGCAAATATGCAATCACTTCTGGTTGAGCTACTCTTTTGATTATTTTTTTTAGCATTATTATGTGTATGTGTGTGTGTCCCCGATGCGCCTTGTTTCATTCGCTTTGATCAGTTTGCTGGCGATTCTGGCATTTGTTTCGCATCGCAAATGGATGAACAGCTTAACAGTTCGCCTGAGGGAGAAACTTGGCAAGGCTTCGAGGAGTTATTACAGGGGAAAGGAAAGGGTGAATGTAACTCTCTGAGATGCTGCATTATCAATCTATTATCAAAACTATTCGCAGAGAGATTGATTTTCACATTGACAAATTTGAACTGAATGTAGCAGTAGGTACCATCTTTTCGAGTAGGTATTATATAGTACCAGAATAAAATTTACCGATAATTTTTATTCAGAGCTGATACAAGTGGAATTTGAATTAAGTAAATTATTGAAAGAGGATGGTGAAGCGGATTCAACGGCTGCCGGACGAATTATGATTGCGGTCGGTCGTGTGTTAACGCTTTCTGTGCATCACAGGTAATTGTTGTTGTATACCTTTAACTGCTTTAATTTTCTGCCTAACAGATCTTAATTCATACTTTATTTTTTCGCGGATACCACCCACTAATGCAGCACCGTTTGTCGGGAAGACGAGCACCGAGTGATAGGTACTAGCTGGAGACATGCAGCCCAGGATCAAAACATCTAGCATAGCAATTTGTGGAAGAAGTGAAGTAACATGGAATACTTACAGTGACCGCTCGGGCCCCCTTAGTATCTTCCACTGATTGACAGTTGTGCTACAGTACCATTATATCCCTGAACTGTGTTTCAGTGCTTCAATTTTCAGACTACAAATTCGAAATCCGTTGCTTCGATTCTTCGGTGAATTGCATGTTTTTGCGGAACGCGCGATTCTGGATTGTGCAGATACGGTGGATGCAGCGGAAAAGGCTAGAACTGAATACAGGGGCTCATTGCTGTGGATGAAGAAAACGAGCAAAGAAGCGAGTTTTTTTTTTGCATACTTCCCTAACCACTAAAAGTATTCTTCTGGCGCTATCTTAGGGTTAGAAACTCGCTGTCAGCTTGCGTGTGAGCAGCTGTCAAAAGAGAGATCCATGGACAGTCCTAGCAGAAGGTAACGACTGATGCTCCATTAATTCTCTCAGAAAGCTTCCGAGTACTTTCGCATCTCATACAGAGTGAATTATTTTTGGCTTTCGACTTTCATTTTCTGGATTTAGCTGGATCCGGAAGCAGAAAATGCTTTGGAAAAGTATCGAACAGCCCAAAGTGTAGTCAGGCGGAATAAAGAAAAACTTGATGGACTAAAACTGGACACTTTACAAAAAGTTGATTTGCTAGCAGCCAGCCGTTGTAATTTATTTTCACAGGTAAGAACTTGTAAAGTTTTACATAAAAGACCTATCTTTTGCTAATAAATGCCATCCGAAATCTCAGAGGAGTATTTTTCGCAGTATTGTTCTTTCACATATATTGCAAGTTTCAGTTTCTGATATTTCCATTATATTTGAGTATTAACTAATATCCACCCTTTATAATTCGGCTTGGGCCTACTAAATATCTTAGCATTTAAAATTAGTTAAATATTAACAATATCCGGGTAATTATTGATGAAAGTACGCTTGCAAATCGTACTTGAAATTGTGCATGCATCAGTTACATCTCAATGTGTGGTGCTCCAAATGTGCAGCTGACTTTTCCGGTTGTTTGACCAGTGCTGCAATATGCTTAATGGCCGGCTTGCTGCCGTTTCGTCTCCCGAACGGTTTGTCAGATCAACGGTTCTCCCAACAAAGGCAACTGGCAAAACTTTAGCCTTTTCGAGCTATCCTTGATAAGCGCAGAGTAACACTATTTTATTTCGAATGTTGCTATTCCCAGACCACGATAAGCAGGTAAAAAAACTGGCCAATGCACGGGCTGCCCGTGCGAAGATGCGTTTTTTTGCAGCGTTCCCCGCAATTTTTGTCACTATCGGAATCGGTTGTTTCGGCAGATGCTTCAAGCCAAACTAATTAAGATTAGTTGCCAGAACTGGCAGGAAACACCCCTTTAAAATTTCAGCTTTCTAGTTCCTGGTTCCTGAGTTAGGAACTCACTGGAAGAAACCTTCACGGGCCCGAACGCGAGTACGACGTATGCCGGATGTCTGGATTTGAGCTCGTTAAGACTTACTTGGACGGGGAACATTCCCTTAAAGTTTCAGCCTT